GAGAGAGAGAGAGAGAGAGAGAGAGAGAGAGAGAGAGAGAGAGAGAGAGAGGGAGGGAGGGAGGAAGGAAAAGCAAGAGTTTGTGATATATAGCTTCTTCTTAACCTTTGTTTTACTATCGTATCCATACGACTTGGGGATCTCTGTGCCCCCACCTTCCAAAGAAGACATTTACTCGTTAATCTGATCCGTGCGCTTTGCAGAGCAGACTGTCAAAATGATTTTTTTTTTAGAATTACAGGATGTTTCAAAGATATCTTCGAACTAGAAGTACCGGTATTCTAAAATGTGAGGAATACGACCCCTGGGGTACAAAATGACCCCAGGCGTACGGATATGGAGTGGAAATTAAAAATGGTTCCGATTTCCTACCTTCTTTTTATTTTTTAGGATTTGCAGGACAGATGTGTCTGTGTGTGTGTGTGTGTGTGTGTGTGTGTGTGTGTGTGTGTGCGCGTGTGTGCGCGTGTGTGTGTGCGTGTGTGTATGTTTTGTTTTGTTTTTTGTAGTGTGTGTGGGTTTTTTTAAAAATAGTATCCCTTTGACCCACGGACACGGGACTTTGTTGGCGTCCATGGCGTGTAAACACAATATGATACCATGAAGGTCAGCCCCTAGATAGAATATGAGGTCAACGACCCTAAAATAGACCGACCAACCGACACGTAATAGGTTAACTGTAGAAGAGTTCTCTATCTTTGATACCTTTTCGTGGTCCAGATAAGATCACTAACAAACAGAAAAATAGTGAAAAAAATGTATACACGTACCTATCTTCTGCAGAAGTGAAGGAAACTGATCATAATATAGGTTCGATTTTTTCCGAACTCTTGTTAAAACACACATTTTGCGAAATACCAAGGCACTTTCCACTGCTATTCATTGCATCAAAATTCATATTCAAAGAAAACATTATCATAATTGCTCATCAACAGTTACCCTATAAAGGCGAACTCTCACCTACAGTAAATGCGATACGTTAAAAAAGAAAAGAAAAAAGAAAAAAAAGGATAAAGGAATACATAAATTGGCCTACAATTTAGTGAATGAATACATTTAAAAGAGGGAATGAAGTAATGAATGAATGAATGAATGAAAGAATAAATGAATAAATTTTACTTGGATTCCATTACTTAATGCTATAGGATTGTAGCGGATATCGAGGATAAAAATTGCGTCAAAAGAATTCAGGATGGTTCATCGGACTAACACCAAATAATAAGCATGCGAAACATAGCAACACATACCGTAGTGGAAATAACAACATATCAGTCAGAGATCGTAGGATTTTTAAGAATACTATTATAATAATTAAGTTGTGTGAATACATGTGAGTGTATGTGTGTGTGTGTGTGTGTGTGTGTGTGTGTGTGTGTG